TTTTCCCCCATAATAATTTTACAGTGATTAGCCTGGTAGGTGAGAAGTCCCAGGCAAACAACGAACGTCACAGAAGTTTAGAAGACCCACTGAAGTACTGGGTCAAGGACAGAGGTGATGTGGGCAACAGGTAGAATCCTTTTCGTCTAGCTGGTCAAGAGTGGAAAAGAGCCACCATCCAGATTTCCATTATGGGGTTTATCTTCCAGGATAAATGCCTCTGTTCTGATAATTAATAAAATGCAATCGCACATTCCAACACATATGGATATCAAAAATGTGTGTTTGGTGAGGAATAGCATCGTATGCGACCGGGTTCTGCCTCCTTTGCTTTCTTTGCTCACAGCAGAAAATGTCCTACTTTTTGCCAAAACCTTACTACGTAGCTTTTTAACTTAATTAAATATATAGGCAATTACTGACACCATCTGTCTTTGTAGAAAAAGAACAAGAAGTGACACAAAAGACTAGAATTCTGAAGGGAATCCTTTAACAAACAAAATCTTCTGGCTCCCCTATGGTAATACTTATTTTTAGGAGCCCTTCTGTTACTTTAAATTATATCTTTTAGAAATAATAAACTTGAGCTACACTTTAAGTGTGGTGGCATTGATATGATTTTTATAAGAAAATATCAGATAATCCGTTGCTTTTTCAGTACAACAAAAACTTCAACATGTCATTGAACATCTGTTACCAGCACAGTCTAACATAGCACTTAAAATCCCTGAAAATCTTTATAAAGTTACATGAATCTTTGGCATAAGTGGAGTTGTTTTAACAATATGTATATTCCTCCACATACTTCACCTTCTTAAACGTAAGATGCATTGTGTTCCCCTTGTTCCAAACTTCACTTCGCTTCATGAGGGAGCCAGTCTTATCCTATCTTGCCATACTCCTAGTCCGTCGTAGAGTACTAACCTTACGTACACCTGGTTTTTAATCTCTATAGGCCTCTCCACTGATGGGTGAATATGTAAATGATATTAAACTGACCATCTGAAGTTTGATTAGGCAGAATGAGGTGCCAATACTAAATACAAATCCAAATCAACCAACAAAATTCACTCTCCGCCCCCACCAGGAGAAGATAAGCAGAGAATAGAAGGAAGAACACGGAGTGCTCCCGGCCCCTGGAGTGACTGCCGGGGAGGGGAGCTGAGTCCTCCACAGTTCTTCCATGGGCTGGAGACAGCGCGTTTTGAATCCCTTGTGGCAAAAACACAAATAGAAATAGAAATAGAAATAGAAATAGAAATAGAAATGTGCAGGACAAGAGGTTATTATCTAAAGGGATCAAGATAAGGCCATTTTCTCAAAGAAATAATGCTATAAAAGTTCTCTTCACATTAAAGATACACAGTGTACCAAAGAATATGCTGTACCAGATTTTGGAGGGAAAAATCAATGTACATATTTTGGATTTCTTTTTAATTTAGTTACGATGAGGAAGTATGAGGAAAGTAATTTCACAGTTTCTTTTAACAAGTTGTCTCAAAGATGGTGTAAAATGCCTAGCACATACAAATAGAGCTGAGACTGAGAATTTACACTTATCGGCCATGAGTTAAGAGCCTTCTTGGTGCATTCTCCTGAGAGGAAGTTGTATATTAAGAAACAATGCACTGAAGATTAGAAGAGCAAGGGAGCCAGGAAGAAGGGAGAAAATACCTTCCTCAATGCTATTTCTTTCATTCATTAGAAGTGGAATCCAGGGACAGCTGGCAGGGGAGGGGCCCATCAGTTAAAGGCAGTCCCCTGGGTGTAAGCTCAGAAGCCAGAGCCCAGTGCACTGGCACAGCCCTGTGTGAGCCAAGTAGAAAACCAGGGCTGAACAAGGTGATTTTCAGTCAGTGGCTACTCAAATGGCATTTTCCCCAGGACCCCTGTGCTCTACATTTCTGGAAAGAACCAGGGGACTTTTATAGAGCACATGTAGGAACCTTGGCTTTCTGCCTATACCAAAGAGCAGTATTTGTTTGTCCTCTTATGGCTCTCATGCGATGGGCTCCCAAATTACTTTATAGACAAATAACAGGAAAGGTGAGACAGAGGAGCATTAAGTGGCCTGCCCAAATTCCCATGATAAATCAGCTCCAGAACTGTTAGTACTTGGTGCGGATTCCCAACGTGGCTGCCAGAACCATGGTGTGCTCTTGTGGTAACCAGGAGCACCTTCCCCAGCATCTGGCGTGGCAGGAAAACCAGGACCTTGGGCTTAGCAAACCTGGATTTTTATCCGAGTCCTGCCACTTAGCTGGTAGCTACAGAACATTTCTTCAATTGTTTGAGCCTTCATTTTCACTTCTATTAGGTGAGGATATCAATGCCCACCTCACAAGGCCGTTGTGAGGATGATGCGAGGAAATCCTGATCACAGCACCTTGCACTTAACAGAACCCAAGTACACAGTACATGCTCCATTCTTCTCACCTTTCCTTTTCCAAGTCTGTCTCCCACACTCTGCCAGAGAAGCAGCTTTCAGAATGTCACTGTTGTCAAAAAGATGACATACTGGCTTGACAGGGTGTGGAATCAAACACTAGAGTCTACAGGCAATACGCGCAGCACTGTGTAATCTTAATTCACCCCCAGCTAACTGAATCTGAAAGGCTCTGTGATGATAAACATACAGCACCTGGGACTCTGTCCTCTACAGTCACCAAATCAGTGAGGATTGATATTATTGGATTAACTCGGTGGGGCTGAGGCAGGCTCCCTGTGGAAGGCAGGCAGTGTTGGGGAGGGTCCACACCACAGAACACAAGCTGAGAGGCTGGGGGCTGCTGGGATGCACAAAAAGAGGGCAGAGGGGAGGTGCAAGAGCTGAGTTTTCCTTTATCACGTGCCTACCAGCCCGGCCAGTCCTGCCTCTGGATTTCACCATGCCCAGCCCCGCTCCGTCCAGGAGCTGACACATAATGCAAGCCCACAGTGGGAAGGAAGTAGGTAGAGATGGACTGCCTGCTAGGAAAGTAACACTGTGTCCTTAAGCTCACCAAGTCTTTCTGAGATTATGACTATTACATTATGCTAATGTATTATCCCTTCCAACTCACGACTGCTTATTAAGCCCCATGTAATGACTCTTACATCGGGCACTAGTTTGCTTTACTGCACGTGGCAGGTATGTGTTAGCAATACACAGCAAGCTTTTCAAGGTTTTGAATGATGACACAGAATAAATTCAGAAGTCATTTTCAGAGGTGGCTTATCACAGACTTCTACAGTCAGTTATTATGTACACACTCAACTAGATTCAAGTATCAGGCCACAGAAATTATGTAGGTTTCCATCCTACGCGTGTGTGCGTGTCCACGTGCACTAGCTTTACTGAGATACTGTGCACTGTATAATTCACCTTTTGAAAGTGCACACTTGAGTAGTTTCGAGTATATTCACAGACTTGTGCAACCATCATAATTATCTACTTTTATAACATTTCTCTCACTCAAAAAGAAATTTGGTACCCCTTAGAAGTCACTCACCATACCTCCTTCCCCTCAGCCACTAGAAACCATTTTCTGTCTCAATGGATTTTTCTGTTTTGAACATTTCATATAAATGGGATAAAGTAATAGGTGGTCTTCTGCAATTTTTCTTTCATTTACCGTGTTTTCAAGGTTCAGTCATGCTGTAGCATGTATTAGTTGTGTCAGTCATTGCTTTTATGGCTGAATAATATTCCACTGTATGGCTGTACCACGTTTTGTGCATTTACTGATGGATATTTAGGGTGCTTCCACTTCTTGACTGTCATGAATGATATTGCAATGAACATTCAAATACAAGTTTTGGCGTGAACAGGCAAAGCCTTGTTCCCAGGATTTAAAGAGGCGGGACTAGAATAGCTCCAAGGCCACGGCCTTATAATACTTGCTTCTGACCTACGTATTCTGCAGCCAAGGTTGTTCTCGATAAAATATTCCAGTTTATTGGAGCTCTCAGGAAAGAGGAAAAGAAAACTCTGCTAGCAAGTCAGTGAACTTATGGGGCTAGTGCTGCATGCTCACCCTCTCCGTGAGAGGACTCCGCTTTGTGAAGAGTCCTCCACATCTCACAAGGACTGTGCACAGGAATCCTCCTGCTGGGAACTACAGAACAAGAGCCCTTCTGCCTTGAAAATCGACAAAGCCTGTTGGCGATCATCTGCAGTAGCACTAAAGGAGCACTTCTCAATAAAGCAGATCATTCACCAGCCCTGACATTTACAGCATGAAAGTTAGAGGAGAAGAACCACACACAGTGTGGGATTACTGTATTGAGTCGCCATGGAAGAAGCATACACTGTTTACTGGGAATCGAACTCGGGACCGTGAGCTGGCGAGGCAGGAGGCGGCACCCCTGAGCTAAATCCCCTGGCCCTATAGAAGCATGCACTATTACTAGTCCTAGAAACTTAATGAGGTTCTAAAAATTGGGTTTTCAGTTTAAGAGACTAGTGTTTAATTTCAAAATAAGAAAGTGGCCTTCCAAAAAATTCATAGCAGAAAAACAAGGAAATACTTAAAAGAACAAAAAGAAGAAAGTATTTAACTCCATACCCTAAGAGTATAAATAACATCAGATAGGACATCAGTCTTAAAAATGGCAGAGGAATGATCACAGATTTATAGAGGTAGGAAAAGAAACTGAGAAAGCAAGAGTGTAGTAAAAGATTTCTGGGAGTGCACTTTGGCAGAATATGCACTAAAAGATTTGCAGGGTTTTTGTTTTGTTTTCAACAACAGTAAAAAATACAAGTGTGGCTACTGCTGATGTGTGTTTAGATTACACAATTTTTCATTTTGGATACAGAAATTAATTTTTAATATAGTTTTGACACCTGTGAAAGAATTTCCAAAGTAACAGAGAAGCATCTGGTATCATATTAAAAAAAAAAATTTTTTTAAATGCTGGTAATTAGGTGTCCTAGAAAGAGCTAGAACAGGATCAAGCATTCAGTCTTTAATCTCAGTTATTCCCCTAATTATGGGACCTGTAGCAAAACAGCTCACCTCTCAGAGTCCTTGTCCATAAAATGAGGAGGGCAGGATGCTGAAGATCTTGCAAAGTCTTCCAGGAGAGGGTTGTTTAGGACCTCCCTGGGTATTTTCAATTTCAGATATTTCACACATACCACATCCACATCACCCTGTTGGAACATGATTTAGACATAACTACGTAAGAGTTGTATTGCACTTAACTGATACATTCCATTTTGTGGATATTTCAAAAATGTTTATTGTTATTTTGCAGTTTCTGTATTTGGAAGACAGTTACTTTTTTCTAATTGAAACTTTCTGAAGCCCTTTGAAATTTGTGACTTAGGCATGCTGTACTACCTGGTCCTGCGTGCTAAATGGCAGGACCCTGCTGTTTGTTGTTGTGGTTAATTGTTGTTGGTTGTTTGTTTGCTGCCTTTCACACTACAGATTTCAGAAAATCATTGTAAGGTAGTGTCCAGGGCAGCTGTTGGTACAGAGATTGGATGTTCTCGTTACTCAGAGATGGTCACATGGAGCTATGATTTAAGTCATGCCCAAGCAGATAGAGCACTAACAGAAACAGAGGGGAAGGTTTCCAAGATGGGTACCAGGAGTGTTTACTGTTGACCAAGCAACAGGCCCACACAATGGTGTAACTGGGGCATTAATAGTCTTATTTTCCCTCCACAAGGCTGGGCTATCCCAGAAGTTGCCACTAGGTGGCAACAGGACAAGAGGCTGGTGTCTCTTCTGCCTACTGATTTTTTTAATGTAATGCAAATAATTCTTACTATCATAGTCATATTAATATTCCACTCATTGAAAATTCTTACAGTGCAGCATACCCATTTCTTTAAAATTAAGTATCAAGTGTTTTTACCACAATGGAGAGCTCAATGTTGTCTGGCATTTCAGTGATCCAAGTGGGAAAAAGAGGTATCTTTTAGCAACTGCCTGGGAGAGCATGTTCTCTTTATGATAGCTGGGATTCTAGAGTCTTTCTCTGCTCCTCATCTTTGAGAAACAGAAGAGAATACCACAGTCAAAGGCCAAGAAGTGAGTTCTGCTTCCTTGACTGCTCCTGGCAGTCAGATAAGAAGGGAGATCAGGGCTTAAACACGGCCCTACAGAAACAGTCTCACACAGTTTGCTGTAATCACTGCATCCTCATAACAGCCCTTAAGGGAGAGGCCTCAGACTCTTGTCAGTAGACAAGAAAACAGGCCCAGAGATGGGAGGAAGTGTCGTAAGACCATGTAGGTGGAAATGTCAAGACCAGTATTCCCAGCCTTGTAACTCTGTTCCAGGGGTCTTTCCAATTCAAAGAGAACACTCGCCTCCCTCAAATCACAACTCTCTCTCGTCCCCACTTCTGTCATGCTTCTGGTACTTCTTTCCCTCTACCCAGTTACCCTCATCCTTGTCAACTTTATTTCATGTTGGCCTAACCACAGTGAGAAGCACGTGTCCCCAGGGAAGGGCTCAGTGCTATAGCTCTCACCTCTCCCCAACCAGGGAGAGAGTGGAACCCCAGACCCAAAAGTGACAGCAGAGAAAAGGCTACCTCCTTACCAGCAACAGATTCTGTTTCAGCACCACAGCCCAGCCCAGCACATGCTCCTGATCATACAGCTGAAAAGGAGAAAAGTTCCTGAGGTCTCAACCCACCCTCCAGATCACTCTCCAACAAAGGCATCTAAAATGTAGCACACTTGAAAATGAAGTTTAATTGTTTATTATTTTATTTTATTTTGGCACAGGGATTGACCCTCAGGCTTCTTGCACTGAACTACACACCAATCCCTTTTAATTTTTCTTTTTTTAAATTTTGAGACAGGGTCTTGATTAAGTCACTAAGTTGCCCAGACTGGGCCTGAATTTGCAATCCTTCTTCCTGAGTCTCCCCAAGTGCTGAGATTACAGATGTGTAACACCGTACTCAGACCCAAAACTGAAATATTGACTTCACCTCTAAACAATTCCTCTAGCTGTCTGTCCCACTCAGGAAATGATAACTCCATTCTTCCACTTTCTGCAGGGCAAAAGTCTTGGAGACTTGATGCCTCTCTTTTGCTCACACCCCACAGCTAAGCCATGGTTTAGCCTTTTTGGTTGAAATGCATCTACAGTACGAACGCATCTCCCACCCTTCACTTCACCATACTAGCTCAGACAGTAGCATCTCTCACCCAAAGTTTGGCAATATCTTCCCCTCTCTGTCCTCGTCCTCATGGTCTCTTCTCAAGGCAACCCTTCAAAAACCCTTTAAAAACAGAAATTAGGTTATACCATCCCGATTCTCAATACCTTCCCATGAATTCCCACCCTCCATGTTTTGTATGTAGGAAGTAATCCCTTGGCATCATACTTTGCCAAACAAGACGTACAGAGGGAGCCTTGGGCTGCCCGTGGCTGAATTATCCTACTAGAGGAGCTAGGCATACAATCTGGCTCCTATAACTTAGCCATTGCTCTAAGAACTCACGGGTCTGACTGATGGTTTGATCTTGCTCTAGCGGAAATTGAGAGGTGCGATGGATGCCACCTCTGTGGTAGGTGAATTCTCAACACTGCACCTTTCAAAATTAGCTTAGGTGGAGAGCAAGTTTTTTAAATTTTTTCCACAAAGTGGCAAATCTTTACAATTCCCTGTTAGTGTCATAGACACATCTGGAGGCAATGGAGTCTACCAGGCCTACTACCTCCAGTGATCAGTCAAGGAAAATGCAGCCTAGTGAGGTGACTTGCTGTGGGTCACAGATAAGTGCCTCAGACCCTGATACAAAAACCTCTGGCCTTTAGCAAGTCACTTACTCTGTCTGGACCCTCAAGTGCTTCTCCTTACAAAAAGAGAAGACAATCTTGAAATTAGTCTGCAAAACATCTATGAACTCTTAATGTTCTGAAAGTCTGATTCTTCATTGAATGTCACAGATCTATAAATCCATCCCTCAGTGCCATACCTAACAGGATCCCCTTAAGGGAAGGTTGGCAAAAGACAAGACCAAACCCTTTGCTATAGAACTCTACTCGCACTTGGAGACAGTTTGACTGTGGGGCCTAAGCCCATCTGCCCACATCTGCATGCTGTGCTACCCATCCAGCCCACCTGTCACGAGAAAGAGGTAGAAGCAGCAGGGTGGCAGGTGGCCTCCATCTGCCTGAACACCTAAGGCAAAGGGGGCTCCATACTGGGCCTCTCTCCCACCCCTTCTGTCATCCCAAAGAACCCAGAACAGAGCCATTCTATCCTGAACCTCTTCCTGTCTACCAGGTGTCTGGGAAGAGGTGTAATGAGCACTGCTAGCAGTCAGGGCAGAGGAGAGCTGGGCTATGGGCAGCACCTCACCCCTATCCACCTGCACTGGCCCTACCCTTCTGCTCAAGTTGCAATGGGCTTCTTTGAAACCAATCCAGCAGGAATAGAATTCAAGTCATGTGCATGATTTTTAATTTTCTAGTAGTCTCATTTTTAAAAGTTAACAGAAGGTAGATGAAAATAATATTTTATATAACCAAACTATTATCATTTCGGCCTTCTCTCAGTATGAAAGGTTATTGATTAGATAGTTTACACTGTTTTTACATCCTCAGTCCTGGAAGTCTGGTATGTTTTACATCAACACACCTCAGTGTGGATCGGCCATGTCTCAAGGGCTCAGTGGCCACAAATGGCTCGTGGCTACCATATTAGTGCAGATCTACAAGATGCATGAAAATCTGTATGTAATTGCAGTTATAATTCTGCTTATCTCACATTTGTAGTTAACATTTTGTTATATTCTCATTTAGTCTTCTATGTATATTGCTTTTGCAAAGCTAAATTCGTGTTGCTTATATAATTTTTTATCCTCCTGTTGTTTTGTGCTTCCTAAATCAAGTTTTTCACAACCACATCATCCCTTATGATAATAGCACAGACTATTCCATAACTCTGGTATGTCATGATCTTCTTAACCAATGCCCAAATATTGGACTGCTGCAGTTTTTCAATATCACAAATAATGGTTAGATGAACATTTTGTATTGCTTGTGCTCTTAAGGCCTTGATGTAAGTCTCTCTAGCCCTTTAGCCATTTTTAACAAAATGACTTTGTAATATATCATAAAACAATAATCAACAAGTGTTTTCTGGCTCAGAGCCAAGTCACCTTAGGGTTTTTGTCATGTACCTGTGATACCTGGCTCTGTGACCTAGGACAAACCATGTCCCTTTCTGTGCTGGAGTAGCTCCATTTATAAAATAAATTTATTTATTAGGTGTTTTTTAAGGGTCTTTCCAGCTCTAACCTTCAGTAATATCTTTCCCTCACCCTTACATCTAATCAATTAACCCATCAAGCTATTCATTATAAGTCATTATAAGCAAATCATGCCAAAACCACTACCTTCACATTTTAAAATCCATCCACTTGCCCCAGTTCCTGCTCATGGTGCCTCTGAGATCACAGTCATCGCTTCTTTAAATTGTGATGGGCAAATCCAGTGCAGAGAGATGAATTTCTAAAATTAACATAAAAAATAAGATAAAATTAAATTAACATCAAAGTCCAAAATCAGAAATAAGGTTAAATCAGAGGTGAATGAAAGCCTGGAGCTGGCACAGAGGAGGTATTCAGTGAGAATTCGCTTCACTTACACTTGATCTTAGCCAAAATGAACCTGAGCACAGCCTCCAGAGAACACAGGCACACACACAGACACACACACACACACACACACACACACACACACACCTGCTCCTTAAAGCTGTGGGGAGTTCACAGTGCAGCCGTGGAACTGTGAATGGGCACTGTCTCACCAGCCTTACTCCAAACACTGGAGGCTGCAGGAAGACGAAAGGGTTCCTCTAAATGGCTGACAGTCTAGAGGGGAAGATCAGAACCCCTGTACATAAAACAAGCATGCCTTGGGCGGTGTCGTCATTGGAAAAACCAGATGGAGAAGACAACAATTATCCGAGCAAATCAGGAAAGCCTGCTGTTGAGGAAAAGGCTAGAGGAAATTTGTTCCGCCATTTCCTTTGTGAACCAAGGAGTTAGGGCAGCCTGGGGAGGCAAAAGTACTTCACCTCTAGAAAATCTTGAGCTCTGTGATCTCAGCTGAATCACGAAGCTGCTTTTTGATCTCAGTACCCTCATTAGTAAAATGAAGCTAGAGTAACACTAACCTTGCCCAAACCCAACCTTCTACTAGACTGAGTTGTGAGGTTGAACCAATAATTACAGGTTGGCAAACCATTTATGTAATGAGGTGATCTAATAGCTATGTAGACAACCAAAAGATATACAGCACTTCTTAAGAATCATCTATTTCTCTTAAAGAGAATCTTTAGCAATCATAAACAATGTTTGAATTTGAGTAACTTATAAGATAATCTATGTGCATTTTTTAAAAAGCCATGTAGTAGGTATAATCATTTGTTCTTTTGACACCTAAGAATACTGAGAGGGACGGAGCCTAAGAAACTTGTTTAAATTTACATTGCCTGTAAACAGATACAGGCTGAGGCAGGCATGGTAGTTCACACTTATAATCTCAGCATTCAGGAGGCAGAGGCAGGAGGATTGCCACAAGTTCAAGGCCAGCCTGAGCTACATAAGACCCCGTCTCAAAAAACAAAACAAAAAAAGAACAGATATCAGCTGAGTCCTTGGTTCTTAGTCCTACGCTGTGCTGCCTTCCTATTAAAACCTTATCACCAAAGCCTTAATAATATCAACATACACATTAATAGTACTTGTTATGTAAGTTTCTCTTTGATCAAGAACACTAAGATACCAAAATACAAGTCTGAGGCGAAATTCCTGGCATGCAAGAAAGAATAGCCAGCTCACTTTCTCCTAGTGGCTGTCCCCATCCGATTTACATTTGGTGCCATACAGCAGGAAATATTTAAGTTGACAAATAGTTGTATTTACAACTGCAACAGAAATTTGGCAGTTAGTTTTTAACAATTGTTGCAAATGTGATTTATTTGCTATTATAAAAGGGCATTACTGTGTGAATATGACTCTTGAAATTAGCTTCAGTTTAGCAAGGGGCCTTGACAGCTTGACCCCTTAATATCCTTATAATGATGCCATTTACATTCAATGCTTACTCAAGTCACTCACTGCTAGATTTGTTTGAGAGGAGTCCACTCTAGGGCAGATGTATTATGTATTTTAACATACAGAGTTGGCAAGTGGAGCACTAGGCCTTCTAAGAGGAAAAAATATTTAATCAAGTCTTCATGAAAATGTGTTAGTTTCCAACTTCCTACAGTGAAAATGCATTACTGCTAATTACAGCATACTCTGGAAATACAATACTTCATGTTTTCTCCACAAAGACATTTCTATGGCATGGATTATATGAAATAAGAACACATTCTGATCCTCTTCACCTTTAGCTTTTAATTTGACTGGAGAATTGATACGGGATCAGTGCCATCTCCTCCGGCATGGCATGTAAGGAGGGTGAAGTCAGAGCCAACCGGAAGTGGAATCAAATCCCAGGGCCACCATTTCCTGTGTGGACTCGGGTACCTCCCTTACCTGTTTCTTTATTTGTAACATGGGGCTATGGCTTTCTTAGGTTATTAAAAAGATCCAAGATGTCTATGAAGCACCTGGCACACTGTAGGTACTTGATACAGGATAGCAAGTCATGGTTTTGTTGCTTGTTTAAAACTCAACTGTCACCTCTGGAATGCAGCCCAGCCCGTCCCTTCTGCTTCCATAATACTTTGTCCCATCCCATTAGTACATTATGTATTAGACTGTATTGTAATTAATTGAATGTGTTTTCTGCCTTCACCTTCTTCGGGGCAGGACTCAAGCCTGTTCACTCTGACCCTCCAGTGACTAGCACAGTGATAAATCTTGAGTATTGAACTGTGGATGATTCTAGGGGTGCTTGGGGATTCAGTGTGAGGGCGGAAATTTAAAGTTGATCTGTCTTAGGAGAAGGAAGAAGTAACAGATGATCTGTTCATTATTGGCCAGTTTAACACATACTAGATGCTCAGTAAATACCTGTGAAGGGAATTAATAGACATCACTCAGTTATCTAGTAGTTGAGAGTAATTTATAATGAACACGTCTATTTTTCAAAACATTTTCATTGTACTACAGTATCCTAACAATCCTGTGATACTTCTAAGATAATGTGTTATCATCTATTGCCAGTTGAGGGTACGATGACATTGTGGTGTGGAAAACTGATACTCCTGCGCCTCATAGTTAAGTGGTGGTACAGCTATGCCTTACAGGCCAGCTATAGGTTTCCCCTAAGTCTCATATCGACAATCCCGGGAAGACTAACCCTTCTTTTTCCAAAATCAAGATAAACTACCCTTTCCTCGTATTTCTCACTCCTTTAATCTCATGTTTGGTCACTCCTTACCCTCTTCTTCTCCATTTTTCCCCATCTCTGAAGCTTCCATCCTGTCTCGTTTCCTCAGTAGAAAACACTGCACTACCACAGGTAGAAAGATCTAAGTCAACATGAGCCTTTTGGAACTAATCATCTCTATTAGACTGTCCTGGCTAGGTTATTTTCATTTCTGTAACTTTCCATATAACCTTGACTCTTCTTACTAGAATCGGACTCCATCCCTCAGCTGAATGACATAGAAACAGGAGCAAAAACATCTATTCCATTATGTCCTGTGGTGACTGGTTTAGTTTGTCCTGCCATGTGCTCCGTCTGACTAGGGTTGGAGGGGGCTTTCTTTTCTCTCCTGTTTCCTGATGTCACCCTCATTTGTCTGCTTCTTGTTTTCATCAGCTATGGGCAACGGGCCTCAGCCTCTCATATAGTGACCAGCTGGCTCTGACTCAGCTCACCCTCTACCTGACAAATGGCCATCTGGACTGCAGTCTGAGCACCCTTGAGGTGCCCCGCTTTGTCCCAAAGAAAGAAACAAAAACGAAGCACCATGGCACCCTGTCAGTGCCGGTAAGCAACAGATAATTTCTGATCGTTCTCAGGTTCAGCAACACTCAGCTGCCACGTGCAGAGCTCTATCTGCAGGTCAGGCTCCTTGAGTTGGAGAAAAAAAGAACAAACAAGGCAAATCAATGAACTGCTCTGAAGAGGGTTTGGGGGATGTGAATGTCTTGGTTGCCACAGGACAGAGGGCACCCAGAAAGGGAAGCAGTGGTAGAACCATGAAAGCTCACATGTTTCTGTTTGCGTGAACCCCTCAGTTCTCTGCTTGTTTCCCTGGATACCTGCTGCTTCAGTGACCAGCTTTTTCAGACAGACTCCATATTTATGCCTACCTTCTATTTTGAGCTTCAGACCCCTAGATCTGCTATTCTACAAAACTTCTCTGCTTAGAGTCCTCAGGGTCAGGCTATTCAGAACTGCACTGTCATCATTCCTGCCCCTGTACTTCCTCTTGGTGGATCGGGGTAGAGACTGGTTAAGACACCCCAAGCTCCACATGCATGCTGTAACCAGACATGTTGATTCCAGCTGCTAACAGGCCTTAGCTCAGAGCCCTCCTGTCCCACCATGGAGACACTGCCCTAGTGTTACAACAGCTACTCATTAAAACTCCCTGCCTCTCATTTCTCCTCTTAGTCTAGACACACTTTTCAATCAAGGCTGCAAGAGGAAAAGCAAATCTAAGCATGTAGCTATCCTACTTGGGATTTTTTAATGACTTTCAGGAAAATCCAACTTCCCAGGTTGGTTAACAAAAGCCCTCATAATCTGCCTCTTCCTGTGGCCACCTTCTCAACACTAGCCCCATCGCAAAGGTAGCTGAGACCAGTCCTGCAGCTGCTGAGCTTTGACCAAGCCCAGTCCCTGGGTAACCGAGGGTAGGTGTCTATGGGAAGAGTCGGTTCTTGATGGAACAAGCTAAATCGGTCATGGAGAAAGATGGTCAAAAGGACCTGATGGCCCTGAGTGTGAGAGTGCTCTGGGGTTCTCCGGCCACAATGGCCTTAATAGCTGCCAAAGGGTTGCTTCTACCTTATATGATAGTGGGCCTCCTGCTCTTTTTGTAAATGAAGCTCCATTTGAAATCCAAACACAATGAACAGATAAAAGAGGAATTCCAGTAGTTAAGAGGACTCCACACTGGTATCCCAGGGATACCTTTCCAGACCAATGTCTCCTGACTGCTGAGCCCCTTCAGGTCTAGTAGATGCCTAAGGATTTAAAGGGCCCTGTTTGACTGCCCAGGGTCTCTACAGTCACCCTAGAGAGGGTGCCTGATGTTATAGTGCTCAAGTAGTCTCCTCCTTGTCCTCCTCAATCCAGTTGACATGTGAGGGAGCCAGCTAGGCCCTTGCTCATGGGAATCCCTCAACTCTCTGCTTATTAAGATGAGCAAGCTGGTAATCTCAGTTTTCTGAGAGGCTGAGGCAGAAAGACTGCAAGTGTGAGCCCAGGCTAGACATTTACCAACAGTGAGACTGTCAAAATAAAAAAGGAGGAGGAGGAGGAGGGAGAGAGCAGACCAGAGAGGAGAAAGAGTTTTCCTTTAATTAGGCCCCAGGACATTGCTAAGAATCTCCCATGTCCAATCCCACTTGTAGCCTCCATTTTCACCAAAGGGACCTGCAGGATGCTAGCTACAAGAAAAGAGCATTAATATTCAAGCCCTTCTGACTGGAGAACCTAATTCAAAGCCATTTCTAAAAGGAAGCTAGAAGATAAGTTAGTATTCAACACAAGCCTTCCAAAGACAGTTTGCTGCATTTAAGTGTGTAGCTTCAGAAAGCCGTAAACAGAAGTTGTACTGTGAATTAGAAGCACTCTCCCATTTTCCCACCTTGCCTATAGGTTTCATTCTTAGCTACGGGCCACATACAGGAATTCTCCAGTGATTGAGAGTTAAACACTTTCAGGAGCTGCCTACACACAAGAGAGATGCATCATGATCTTCAGTACTTCAAAAGTCTCTACGATCACTGCAGAAAAGCTCTGCATGGTTTCTGGTGTAGAGATAAATTCAAAGTGCTTCGTTTTAGACAATGGATGTCCTGATGCCAGTGCCACCACTTGTGTGTATCTGCCCCCAAAAGTGTGGACTCACCTGATGGGCTCTTCTTTAAAAAGAAGCATTACAGATGTACACACTGTACACACCATGCAATTCACAACCAAACTGAAGCCTCCTGAACAAGTGTGAACAGACTATGATGCTGTCAAGTTTACGATCTGACAGTTGACAGCCCCTCTGAAGACTGGAAAAAAGGAAACACACAGATGAGACCGCTACAATAATGACAGCACACTCAGAACTGCTGCCTATAACATATGTCTATCCCTTTAATAATGTGCCATGCCGGGAAAAGCAGAAAACTCTCTTGGATTCTTAGAATAACTCAGAACTGTGCCATGTCAGAAACAGGTGTCATGGCTGTCTAGACCTGGTTAGAATTAGTGAACAGGATTTTGAACCAGTTCCTCCAAGATAGCCACTTGACAGTGTAAGTAAGGTCTGAGAAATCCCCCGACAGGCATGTTCTAGAAATAAAAAAGAAGCTGGGTGTGGTGGCGCATGCCTGTAATCCCAGCACTCAGGAGGCTGAGGCAGGAGGATCACTGTGAGTTCGAGACTAGCCTGAGCTACATAGTGAGTTCCAGGTCAGTCTCAACTACATAGTGAGACCCTGTCTCAAAAAACAAAACAAAAAAGTAGCATAAAACTGGTATCCTTGGCCATCAGTTTTCACTTCTTCCCTCTTTTCCTGAACCTTGCAAACCTCAGTTGGTGAATGGTCAAAAGGAAACATCTTTGCTAACATCTTAAAACAATGCAAGTCGTTTATATGCATTTTAACAGCACATGATCTGTAATGAATGATTAAGTAAAACCTTTTGTGTTAAATTATGATGTTAATAATGATTCTGTCTCCTGTAATTTATTATGAATCCTCAAATGCTTCGGGTTTGATTTTGATAGAATGCAACAACAGAGTTTATATGATGACTTTATTTTTAGAACTCCTTCTTTGAAGGCACACATTTCCCCACTACTGCTGCTACTGTAATTATGCACAAAACCAATCACTCATTAGAGTTAGGATACATTATCTTCTAGACAGATGAGGCTAAATAAGCAACACATTAATAATTCAGAGAGCAGTTCATTATGCATGTGGATGCCTGCTTCGTAACTGAAATAAGAACCTCATCAGCCTCTGCCAACCCTTAAACAATAGTTCTGTATTATTGCAGCCACATTCCAGTTTACGCTTGTTAAACTGCTACTTGGATTATTTTATCAAACATTCATTTATTTGTGGTCCCTTACTGCTGAGAACAGATTTTGGAAGCTCCTTTTTTAAGTTAATGATTTGAGCAATGGGTGTTATTAATTCTCAGAATATTATAAACATGATTAATTTTCAGGCAGAGATTTATTACATAAGGATTTCAGCTATGTCAACTGAAATGCATCACTGTCAAGACAAGTATCATGGTGGAAATAGAGTATGTTCCACCCTTCGAGCGCTGGTGCTCAGAACTAAATCAATTTAAATTGTGGCTGAAGCAAAATTATATTCTCCAGTGAAAAGGAGTATTTGGAGTCTCCTTTATTTAGCTTGAAGCACTCTTGTTAGATTGTGATTTAGAAAGGTAGTTTAATAAGCCTAGACTTCTTCCAGTAGTGTTTTCTTTTGCTTTCCCTAGTTTTCATAAGAAAAAGCTAACTTCCCAAATTCCCACAAATCTCAGATGCGGCCAGTGGGAATCTGGAGAGCACTGATTTAGGAGTTAGGGGTCAGGAAATATGATTGTCTCTCTGGCCCTGGTCTTATTTATAAAATATGGGAGAGCATGAGCACCTAGATCATGCTTACAATATAATCAATATGAGAATGAGATTGAAGATCTTAAGTTAATTACCTGTGTGTTATGTGAAAATATCCCTGAGTACAAAGCATTTATGTATTTCACAGGAGACTTTTCAACTGTCATTACTTCACCAAGGTTAGTTATAGAAACCAGTCATTCAACTGAAGGACTTTTCTGCTTTGTAATGTGTGAATATCTGAAAAGTAAAATAATCTTTATTTCCCATACTGTCCATGAAGTGTGAAGAGGTGTCATTTCTCCTTGTCTGATGTGAGTGGTTTTGCTTGTTGGTGGCACTGGTTCTTTGTGCTTTGTAATGTGCGTGAATATAACCAAGATTTTCAACAATGAAAAAAAATATGGGAGAGCTAAATGACCTCGGAGTCTCTCAAGGAGTAGGATTGTGTGGAGCTTATAGAATGGGCTTCTGTACTAAGCCTGACCAGGCAGCCTTCTGTGCTGTGCAGGCATCTGTGAGGGAACACAGCCTTTTCTGCATAGTTCTGGTTCTTTGTAGATACTTTTAGAAAGGACAATACTGCTATGACAGGTCACATGCTGAGTCTTCATCAGCCATCACTTTGGTTATATCAGTTAACACTTTTACAAGAATCAACTAGACACAAATTTAGCAGTTATTTACTCAACACCTACTTCTGCCAGGCACTCAACTAGTCTCAGGGGCTATAAGGACAGGTACAGCAAAGAGCTCCAAGTTTATCAAAAGGCACATGTAGGGCAGTGGGCAACTATGCCATATAAATTAATATGATGTAACATCCAGAATATATTGAACCTTACTCCACATGAGGTAGTTTATCAAGTGCTTTACATGAATCTTATTACAACCTTTTTACGATATATTGCTACTAGGCAGGTAATGTTATGATGTTCATTTTTAGATAAGGAAACTAAGATTAAGAGGTATCAAACAACTCGTTAAAGATCACTCAGAAAACACATGATGAAGCCATGGTTTACTTGTCAAAGGTGAAAGCCTGTTTGTTTAACTACTGTGCAATGGCTGAGAGTCAGGGATCAGACCCAGAGGAGATTAAGCATATCTTTGAGGAAGTCTCTAGCAAAGGCCACACAGAAAATTATTTTCCCGAAGGAGGATTCACCTAACAGTGTAATGAAGTTGTTTCCAGGTACAATGCCATTATCCACTGGCTTCTGACCCATTCTGAGCTGGGCCAAGACCCAGTAGCACTGGATGGTTTGGGGGAGTCTTAGATTTTAAAAAAGGAAGGTGATTGGACATGGCACAGGTTCCCTGAATAGGCCAGATTTCCAAATAAATGAGTATGGAGAGATCATATTACTTACGCGGTGAGCCCTCTGGAAAAGCCCAACTATGTATATGTATTTTTTATAAATAAACAGTTTGCACACTAAAATGACACATGAAATATAAATTTCAGCTCTTGTCTTCAAAATCACATTTAATGGCATTCTTATTTAAGTTCTTTGGCTATGTAGTATACTTACATAGCTCAAAAGGCAAGTCCTTTTGACGGATGAAAAGTCCTTCTCATTACCTAGAACCCCCCAGCAAAAACAGCCGCCATGTTTGGGGTCTGTACCTTCTTTCAGGGCATCTTTTTGCACAGACAAATGAATGAACATACAGAAGATCCCCTTTCCTCTTATGTCCGAAATGCAGCCTACAATACATGTAGCTATTCTGAATCTCACTGTTTTTCTTTGCAGAGTTTTCTATACCAGTTCATTAAGAACAGTCTCACTACTTTTTAACAGCAACATATTCCACTGCATGCATCATAATTTATTTGACCTTTCCTCTATTGGTAGATTTTTGGGGATTTTAAAAAATATTACAAACCATACTGTAGTGAGTTACTTGGATATATATCTTTTTGCACATATTTTGGGTATTAGAATACACTCCAAAATGTGGAACTGTTCAATCGAAGGACATATGCATTTGTAATTTCAATAGATTATTTCCAAATAGGGATTTCTTATTTGATCTTTGGCAAACCTAAATGAATTGTACAGCATCAAAAGAGGATTGATTACATAAAACAACCTATCAATAATGGTGCTTTCTATTTGTAGAACTTATACTTTAAATTTATAGGAGTTTATTTTATCCCCACAGTAATCATAAGAAATAGATAAAACAAAGATTATTATATCAATTTTACAGAATAGGGAACTTAATCTATGCAAAGTTAAGTGAGATGCCCCAAGTCATGAAGCTAGTAGGCAGCAAAGTCTGGCTTTTCTGATTCAACTCCCTTTTTGATGAATTGGTTGGTTGGTCAGCTTTTGTTTTAAGTAATTGACCTGATGTGCAAAATTATTGAGTGTAGTAAGTGATCACTGCTAACGCTTACTGAGTGGTTATTATGTGGCAGACTCTGTTCTAAGGACTCTACATACTCATCCAGTGGTCACACCGATACTTTTGTCATCTGTGCTCTCTATCAAGATGGATCAAAGATAACCTGAGATATTCAACAGGTTTTTCTTTTTCCCCCTACAAACTGTGGAGTTGGCTAAGTTTTTTTTAAAGTAGGTGTATTTTATTTGTTCATCTTTATTAGCAGTATAGTAACATATTTATTAAGCACTTAATATATGCCAGGAATTTTGCCAAGCATCAGAGTTGGAAAGGAGACACAGAAAAGATGCTGATATTAAAATTGATACACAAGGAAAAACTCCATGGCCTCCTGTAGGTGCCACTTAAGTGACAGACCCCAACCTGCTGCCTTGAAGAATAGGGCAGTCATTCAGTGTCCAGGATAGGAATACATCTTCCAGGAAATGGGACAGAGGCTACAGAGAGCCTGTGGTCTCCTAGAAGGCAGCAGCGAACCAAGAGCAAAGAGTCATGGGAGGGAGGGAAAAGAAGAGGGTGGAGCCAGGCACTAAGCAAGTTTTGGGGACCCACCCACCAAGACGGGCTCCAGATTTTATTCTGAATGCAAGAAAGAGACACTGAAGATTTCTGAGAAAGAAAATTACATTGACCATTCTGGGTTTGAGAGAAACCTTCCATCTAGTGGTAATGCTCAGAATCCCAGAAGACTAGGGTACCAAACACTTGATCTTAGCCAAAAGGCCGAGAAGCGATTGACACTGAAGATTTCTGAGAAAGAAAATTACATTGACCATCCTGGGTTTGAGAGAAACCTTCCATCTAGTGGTAATGCTCAGAATCCCAGAAGACTAGGGTACCAGTGGAGGGAGAACAACCTGGGAAATTACCTTTATTGTGGGTCCAAAATCCTTTCAAAGAACCAGCAACAAACAATAGTAGACACCAACTATTAGGTTCTAGAGACAGCATGCTTATTTAGTCAACAGAAGTCAGAGAAGTCAAAGAATATGCTCAAGATCACACAGATAGTAAGTACTCTCACCACATTTTGATCCTCAGCCTTCTGGATTCCATGTAACCCTTTTACTATAGAATTTGGCTCACATTCTCAGCACCTACAGGCAATAAAGGTCTGGATTAGCATGGTGATGGTAATGGAAAAGGAGCAACAAGAGATATACCAAATATTCAGGATAAGAATCTGAAATACAAGCTCATGTCTGCATCCACAGACAGAAGAGACCTCAAGGCAGTCTGTCCTTACCTGTCCAGTTGTCACTTACTACTGGACAGTGAACATTTTGCTGTGCTTTGAGGCCCAGATACACAGCATTGAGCAGGACCCTGCTACCAGGTACCTTGTTGCCTCTCTTGCTCACTGGGGCCTGATACTGGTTTTGTTTGTTTACATACTATGGCAGCATAAGACAAAAATGACCTTGGGATTATCTCGTGAATTCATGGCAATTGCCACACAATTACATGCTCAGTAACCACAATGGAATTCCAGAGTATTTACAGTTTACTTCCATGTGCAAACGTTCAGACTTTTGGGTCTTCATTTGAAGGTGGGAGCACAGCACAGCCTAGCACGGCAGGGCATACAGAGCTGGTGGCCATGATGTTTCAGACTGCCTAGCCAGCGGAGCGAGTTTCTCTTCACTGGGTTTTGTCATCTCCTCTGTAATTCCTACTTAGCTCACCAGGGCTACCCTGTCCTCCAGGGAGCTTGTCATCTTTGGGGATCGTGTGCCTGACTCTACACTTCTGCAAATCACTTGCTTTGATTTCAAAGCACACATACTGACTGGCAGATCACTGAGTTACATGTTTTGAAGAGTTTGTTAAATCAAGGGAAATTATTTCCACCTATCTATTCCATTTATTCATTCTTTCTCTCATTCAATAAACACTGAAGGCTCTTTCTCTGGTACCCTGAGTTCAACCTAGAGATTCAGAAAGCATGCAATGCCTGCCTCCAGAATGTTCCCAGTTACCCAAGGCAACAGGCGGGGAGACAACCCACTGTTATGAGGGTGATGACAATGTACGACTATTAGATATAGGGGGGTCAATTAGATTTTCTTTTGTTAAAAAATAATAGGAATGGAGGTAGATAGACAAAGCTTGGTCGATGGGTATTAAGTGATAGTTAGAGAGAAAGAGCACAGGGTACTATTTCATAGTATGGTAACCAGATATAACACCTATGTACTGTACTTTTTAAAAACTAGAAGAGAGAATTTTCAAAATTTTCACAACCAAAAAATGATAAATGTTTGAGGAGTTATGATTTAAATGTTACATTTTATATATATATATATATATATATGTATATATATTAAGTGATAGTTAGAGAGAAAGAGCACAGGGTACTATTTCATAGTATGGTAACCAGATATAACACCTATGTACTGTACTTTTTAAAAACTAGAAGAGAGAATTTTCAAAATTTTCACAACCAAAAAATGATAAATGTTTGAGGAGTTATGATTTAAATGTTACATTTTATATATATATATATATATATATGTATATATATATGTATATATGTATGTATTGAACATTATATGGTGCCTGCTACTATGTACAACTTTTATGTTTTTTGTGTATCAGTTAAAAAAAAACAAAAGCCAGTAACTACAGATGGGATGATACTGATAGAAGTATTGACTCCAGATGTGTTAGCTGACAGGAGCCTAGCATTCCTATAGACATGGATTCTGCTTATGCGTGGGAAGAGCAGCCTTAACGATGTTACTGATGATGGGACCCTCAGATACAGGGCTTGATGTAAGTGTCGGGAGAAAAGACAGAGCACGTAGGGAGTGTGCCACCAAATGTGACCAGGATGTCTGTGTGGGATATGTGGGGGGGGTCCTCTGTTGGGCGCTCAGTCCACCCTGGTTTCTGCACTATTTCAAAGACAGACAGAGCCTGAAGTATGACCAGGTCACTAGGATCCCCACAACCAGCTTTGGACCAACAGCGCCTCCTCTGCCTTCTGTTCCAAGTGACTACACAAGTCCAGGCACCTGGTTGCCTAGCATCTGAGAAGCCCCAAACCTGGACCAGGGACCTTCATCTTCTATGTCCTAAGGTTGATCATGGCGCTATATGTGGTTCTTCAACTGTTAGCGCAGGGGAAACAGCTGATTGTTCAAGGCAAATATTGAGCCAGGAATTTAGCTCAGAGGTTCTGCAGCCTGCCTTGCAGCACAAGGACCCAAGTTCGATCCCCAGTACCAAAAAATAAAATAAAGGCAAATATCGTATCTCACAAATGGCATGTATAAAACTGCCAGGATCCAGTACTATATTCTGTACCATAAAATATTAAATGTTCTTAAGAAATACATCAATAAAATTCTTTGGACCTTCTGGAACCAGTCTCTTTGGGATAGCTCGCACTAACAGCAGTTAAAGAAGTTTCCCAAAGAAAACAATATCAAAATTGAAACACTGGCCACATCAAGGACATAGGCTAGGTTTTGTGATTTGCTTCCAAAAAGTATATAGTATGGGAAAAGGGAAAACATATCTTTATAGCAGAGAAACCTGTGAAATGTTTGCTGAAATGGCAGAGGCTATCCCAACTAGGTAATAAAAGTTAACATCATCAAGTCGTGTTTGTAAGTGTATTAGCTTTTCATTTCTATAACAAAATAGCTCAGATAATTGACTTAGAAGGAAAAAAAAACAGTTTATTTAGTTGACAGTTTTAGAGGTTCCAGACCCTAAGTGACTTCACTGCTTTGGGCCTCTGGTGGGGGTGCTGGATGGTGATAATGGGGAGCATGTGGTGGCTCAAAACTACTTACAACATGAGGCAGCAAGCAAGGCTGAGGAAGAACAGAAGAGATCAAGGCCCTGTGCTCACTTTGCTGGCGTGTCCCTAACGACCTGAGGCCTCCCATGAGGCCCCATCTGCTAAGTTCCCAACAGCACAGCCCTGGGGGCCAAGCCCTAAACGCATGGACACTTAAGGGCACCCAATGTCCAAGCTACAGTAGCATGGACCCTCACTAGGAAATGATGAAAACTGCAGTTTACTATGTGTGCCTCCTCTCAAAAATGCATTTCTCCAGTCAAATCATGAGAAAAACGTAAGATTGATCCAAATCAAGGCACATATTACAAAATTCTTGGTCAGCAGTCCTCAAGATTTTCAAGTTTGTGCCGGGGATTTAGCTCAGTGGTTCCACCGCCTGCATTGTAAGCACAAGGTCCTGAGTTCAACCCCCAGTGCCAAGAAAAAAAAAAAAGACTTTCAAGTTTATCAAAAACATAGAAGTCTGAGAAACTCTCACAGCCCAGAAGAACCTAAGGAAATGACTAAATATAATATGGTATTTTAAATGGGACGCTAAAATGTAAAAATGAAATTAGTGAAAAATTACTAAAATCCAAATAAAATATGAGCTTAATAGTAAGTGTTAGTTTGGTTCCTTAGTTAAGATACATGCTCCATGGCAATGTAAGATGTTAATAATAGGGCAACTAGGTGCAGGGGTATATAGGAGTTTTATGTTATCTCTGCAGCTTTTCTGTTACTCTGCAATTATTCTGAAGATAAAAGTTTAAATATTTTTTGAAGAATCTAACTTTCAGCTGTGGCCTTTTCAGTCACAGGAAACCAGTCGCTATGCAGTGATGACCACCCAGCTGAAGCATACAAACCTCTCACTGGTTTTCCACTATGTTTTCCTCCAGATGTGTAAGGCACATGGCATCGGTTATGACCTTGAGGTAAGGATTACAGTTCACCAAGGCTGGATCAAACAGGTCTGTGGGTGACCTAAGTGGCTAATTATCTGCTCCCTTTTCAAGCAGATATTCTTGAAAAGGTTAGTATACTCAGGTTAAGACTGGACACTCCTTGGGGAAGGGCAGAAAGGCATTTCCACAGAGAGCAGAACCTGGCCCTGGGAAATTCAGTTCCATCCCCAAACTTGCACAGTCACTTTGCAGAGAAAATCCATGCTGCTTGTCAGACTTATGAGGTATTTTAAAGACCAGCTTTTGATCCTGAAGCATATCCTGAGCCTACCAAAAGTTGCTTATTAACAAATATCCTCTATTACAGCCTGCATAGACTTCCAGAGCTAAACAGCACCAACTGCATGGCTTAAACAGAAAGCTATTTTTTCACAGCTCTAGAGGCTGGAAGTCCAAGGGACTGACAGATTTGCTTCTTAGTGAGAACCTGCTTCCTGGCTGTAGACAGCAGCCTTCTTGTTTTGGACACACACACACACACACACACACACACACACACACACACACACACTGGGGTGGGGTTGGAGGGAGGTCTTATGTATTTTTTTTTTTTTTGAGACAAGGTCTTGCCATGTAGTCCAAGCTGGCCTTGAACTCACTATGTAGCATAGGCTGGCCTCGAACTCACAGCGATCCTCCTGCCTCAGCCCCCCAAGTGTGGCATTACAGGCATATGCCACCACACCTGGCTTCTTATGTTTCTATTAAAAGGACATCAGATCTAAAGTGTGAGAATTCTATCCTTATGAACTCATTTAATCTTAATCACCTCCTTAAAGGCCCTGTTTCCAAGATAGCCATATAGAAGTTTAAGGTTTAATGAACTGGGGAGTGACACAATTCAGTCCACAGCACTCTCCTAACTATCTGTAGTCTTTGCTTTCAGGAAGGATTTCTGGTTTAAAAAGTAGTGTCCCCCTTTTTTGGTTCCTGCACAGTTGCTTCATCCTGATGTAGCTGGAGGGGTACCAGGATGATGAACGTCTCTTCCCTAAACTAGAACCTCCATTTTTGTGCCCAGAGACTCCAGCTCCTCTGGAGAAACAGTTTCCTGCTTTCCTAGTCTGACACAGATTTTCAAATTTCTGACACTCCAGAGCTGTTCTACTTGTGGAAATCAAATCCCACATCATATCAAACATATTAAATTCACCTCCCATATTAAATACAATATAATGTATATATAATGACATAATAATTGGGCAGCAATCAAATGATTACATGTTTTGATTTGTAGAAATTCAATCCAAGCTCAGTTTTTGGTTTTTCTATCTGAGAACAAATACAATTTTCAGGAGTCAAATATTTTAAAGTTCCTTGTAAAGCATGCAGACCTTACGCATGGGACCTACTGTGAGTAGAATGGCCTGTCTGACACTTGGCAATCCCCAACAAGCTGCCAGGCCACTGTCAGGGTGCATAAAGCCCTCTGGTTAGATTGATTCATGCTGGTTGCAAACACATATAATGGAGCTCATATTGCCTTGCAAATTACATTAAATTTGATAAAATACAGAAAGAATGAAAGAGCCAGATTGAACTGATTTACCTGAAATTAATTGTTGCATCTGCTGCACACAATCCCTTTGGAATTCGTTTTAGCCCAAAACTGATTAGAGTGAAACACTCTCACGTACCACAAGGTGGCTAAATCTAACTGTAGCTTTATCTATATCTATTTTACTTCATTCTAAAATATCAAAGCAGAACAAGTACTGCAATAGGCATATATTTGGGCAGGGAAAGTCTACTGTCCAAAGGAAAATACGCTGTCATTTTCTATTACCTAAAATTATTTCTAGAGATTTTTTTGTTTTTTGTTTTTTGTTTTTTTTGTAGACAAGGTCTCACTGTGTAGTTCAGGCTGGCTTCAAACTCACTATGTAGCCCAGGCTGGCCTCAAACTCATGACAATCCTCCTGCCTCAGCCTTCTGAGTACTGGGTTACAGGAGTGTGACAAAGCTAAAGCCTTTGTACTTGTACTCTTGAGAAAAGTAAAGTACTCAATCAGTCATTTAATTTATACTTATCTCTTAGGATGATCAGATACATCTTTAATAACAAATTTTAGTAGGGAAAATAGATTATGATGGTGCAGGGGAAGGGCTCCAACTTAGGATAGGGGAGCTCACCGGGAAGAGCTACAGAAAAAGAACAGGCACAGGGACTCCAAAGGCATAGCCAGGACCGTGTCACAGATTGTCCTCCAGGTCACCAGAAAATGAAAGATGAAATGGAGGAGAGAGAAATATGGATACGGATGGACAGCAACAGAATAGTGGAACAACATGAAGAAGAAAAGGACAACAGAAGCAGAGAGAGAGAGAGAGAGAGAGAGAGAGAGAGAGAGAGAGAGAGAGAGAATAAAATCCAGAAACTGGAAAGATGCATTAAAAACAAACATGATCATCAGAAAACAAAAGGGCAAATGCGAACAGTGGAAAAGAGGAGAATTAAAAATCTAAGATAAGAGGGAGGCATTTGACTGCAAGGACATTTTGAAATTCTCTGGAAGTGTCCTTGGTCTCGTTTTTTAGACCCTGGGACCCATCCCTGGTGAGACTCTCCACTTTCTCTCTTAACCAACTTCTCTTGAGCGGTGGGGCGGGTAAGGATACGGCATTTACAGAGCACCTACTGTGTGCTGGTTACTGAGCCAAGCACTTTCACTTCACTATCTCATTTATTCTTCATTCCTACACTGTAGGACAGTATTATTTCTACCATATTATAGTGAGGATTTCCCCAAGGTCACTTCACCAGGCTCATTATGGAACTGCCACTTGAATGCAAAACTGTCCACAAAGTCAAACATGATTCTTTCTCTTACATCAAAACATATTCTGTAGCCTTTTCCTCCTAAGGACTATTTCCCACTAACTGAAATGTGATTATCAACTCAAGAATTTAGGTACCTCTTATGTGTTCTTCAGCTGGAGTACAGATTTCTCCCAATAGCCCCTATGAATATCTCTGCCATAGAGAAGCAGGGAAATGTGTTTATCAATTAACTTACCTAAACTTCAGTGTCCTTTTTTTCCTGAGTCTAAAGAGAAAAGCACTCACCTAACTTCCAGTGTAACCTCTGCTGCCTGTTCTCTTGGTTCAACTTAATATGAATGGTTTTTCCAGAAATAGAAGGCAGCTCTAACAATGTTATCATTGTTGATGCAAACAAAAGTCTTTATTGTCTTTATTCTTTAACTTTGTTTTTTTCTCCCATTATTATCACAAAATTTCAAGTGATGTTTCTCGTCCAAAGTCTCAAGGAAAGAAAGGAAAATCAGATCATTCTGTGGGTTTATTTTTCTTTGATGAATATTGGAAAAAAGCGCTACTGAGTTTGTAAGCAACTTGGCGGGTCTCATTCCTGGTATTTCTGTAATACTACAGAACACCCCCACTGGTTTCCTAATGAAATGAAGTTGTAATGAAAGCCATATGGAGAAAGGCGTGGTGTTTACTGCCTACATCAGTGTGGGGCAAGGCTGGTCTCACACACAGGCAGTGTGTCATGGCCCTGAATAGCTCCACAACTGCCAGCAATCATTTCCTTGGGCCAGAGTGTTGCCATAAGGGGAAGTATTAGGGCTGCTCATAAATATTCTGGTTCACCTCCTTCCAGGCACATAACAGAATTACATGTCCTCAGCTCTCCCTCTAGAGTTAGGCATGGCTGTGTAACTTGTTTTAGCCAATGAAATATTAGCAGAAATGAACTATGTCCTTTCTATGTAGACTGACCTTTAAGGACTTCCACATCCTATATTTTGTCTTGGAAAATCATGGATGACACTGAGTGAGAGACTCCTTCAGCCTGGTCCCTGAGGGTATCAACAGTGGTCAGTGTCCCATGTTAACCCATGTGGGAGTAAAGCAACAGCAAGAACTATAGCTGTGGTATTATAAACAACCATGAACTAGAGTTTTAAAATTACTGCAGCATAAATTAACCTAGATGGTTGGTATGGAAATTAGTATCAAAAAGAGGATGCCACTGGGCATGGTGGTGCATGCCTGTAATCCCAGCACTCAGGAGGCTGAGGCAGGAGGATCACTGTGAGTTTGAGATCAGTCTGGGCTACATAGTGAGTTCCAGGTCAGTCTCAGCTACATAGTGAAACCCTGTCGCAAAAAAAA